CACACACACACACACACACACACACATACACACACACACACACACACACACACACACATGTGGCCCCCAGCCCACCCCCCTGCGCCGAAACCCACCTGCGCAAATGCGTCAAACACGTTTACCTGCGTTCAGTAAACGCGCGTTCACCGCGTTCAAAACCTGAACGCGAAACGCGCGTTCAATGAACGCGCGGTAACACAGACCCTGACCCTGTACAAGTTATCACATCTGCGCTTTTTTTCTTTTAATGAAAAAAAAGAATTGTACTACTTCATATTATCCTGCAACTGACCGGCCCTAGGTAATTCAGAATTGTAGTATTTCACTCATCTGCTTCCAGCGAAGTTTGAACTCAGCACCTGGTCTGTATGTCAACAGTTCAGTCGAGGGGGGGTATACCAACTGAGCTAGGCGAGTTGGTACATCCGCGCTTTTGGGGAACCGCCTTGATGCTTTTACGGAGTTTTTAAATTATCGCCTTTCTGAACTCGGCGCCTGATTTTGTTGCCGGGCCGCGGTGCCGCCGGCGCATGTTTTTTTTGCCCTTTAGGAAAGTGTTCTTGACATATTAACTGATCTTGCTCCTAAGTTAATGAAATGATGCAGCATTGACGCCCAATCTCTCAAGGAAGGAGAACAATGATCGACTCGGAGGATGTGTTGGACGGCAAAAAAAAGAAGACAAAATGTCGTAAAAAAAAGGGAGCAAAATACCAAGATAAGAACCAAAATTAATAAACCATACATAGAAAGAAAAAAAAAGTCAAAAGTGTCAAACTGTAGGGAGCATTCAACCATTTTTTATATCTGCATTCCAAATTTTTATTTTTGCAAAATTTCAACTCACCTGTAAATAGCAGCTCTGCCTGAGAAGCGGTCTTAGGGAAACCATCCATAATGAACCCAAACAAAAGGTGATGTCTGGTCGATAAAAGATAGTTTTTCCACATCTTCACAAGCACAACATCGGGCAGTCTCTCTCCCGATCGCGACTTTGCTGCCCCTCCTCCTTTATTTCCTTTCCTTGGAGTTGTAGGCCTCGATGACCCGCCACCGCCCTTATTTCCTTTTCTTGGACTTGTAGGCCTCGATGACCCACCACCTCCCTTATTTCCTTTCCTTGGAGTTGTCGGCCTCGATGACCCGCCACCTCCCTTATTTCCTCTCCTCGGAGTTGACGGCAATGATTGCATCTCAATCACTCTCTTCGCTGCAGCTTGAAGTTCTGTGTCCCATTCCTCCTGCACGAATGGGGAAACAAAAAGAAAGGTTATGAAGAAGAAGAAGAAGAAGAAGAAGAAGAAGAAGAAGAAGAAGAAGAAGAAGAAGAGGAGGAGGAGGAGGAGGAGGAGGAGGAGGAGGAGGAGGAGGAAGAAGAAGAAGGAAGAAGAGGAGGAAGAAGAAGAAGAAGAGGAAGAAGAAGAAGAAGAAGATACGATTAAGGGTGTATTCTCAGTAGGACTTTCTACTAAGCTCTGGATGTGATTGTGGACGGAATCTGATCCAAATTGCGGTCAAATACATGTAGGAAAGTACTGGTGGTTGCCCTAACTGTTTCTTTGACTCCCCCCCTCTCCCCTCCCCCCTGCGCTTGACAAGATTTGAGGAATTGTTTCTGTACTATTAGGTGCAATGTACTAACTTTTGTTCTAATTTGTAGATTGATATTATTTGCTTGAATTAATTATTAGTGAAAATTCAATGAATTAATAGATAGAAGATTGTTAATTAAATATACATATATGATATATATCTATATTGTATTTTTTTGTATAAATATATATTAATCTTTGATTCAAGTTATAGATCTATCTAACATCCCCCCCTCCCCCCGGATTCTCTCACATCCGATCCGGGGGAAGGTCCCACCAGCAGAGAGGATCAGATTGCAGAAAAGCAGATAAGTAGACGCTTTCTGCACCTCTCCACTAACACGACCAGATGCAGGTGTTTAATTCCGGACACTCCCCTATGTGTGTCAAGAATCATCAGAATATCAAAATGATGATTTTATTTATTTATTTATTTATTTTGTTTTTTTTCTTTACAGAAAGATGGCTTTTATATTGCAAAATTCATAGTTAACTGCCATTTCGTCAAAATGGACATCTTTTATTTTTTGAACGAAATTAAAACCGAGTTTTTTGGCCGAAAACTCGTCAAAATTTGCTGTTCCTGAGGGTTCAGCGTTTGCTGGACCCCCTGGCTGTACATGGACCTAGCTTGAGACCAGGCACCTCCAGGCAGTGCCGGGTCTAAAGCTAGGTCCATGTACAGCCAGGGGGTCCAGCGTCGACCCTCAGGAACAGCAAATTTTGACGAGTTTTTGGCCAAAAAACTCGGTTTCAATTTCGTTAAAAAAATAAAAAATGTCCATTTTGACGAAATGGTCATTAGTTGAGGCCGGGGGCCTCACAATTCAACTCGGAGTAACATACTGGGCCGCAGTGGGGCCATTACCCAGCTTAGGCTATGCTGGAAATTGGGTCCAGTCACCAGTGTCCTTTATAACCACAGCCACCTTCAAAAGAAAGGGGGGGGAAACTTAAACCACCAGTACCTGGCCCAGCTATCGAGTCCGAGCCTCGGCCGACTGGTACGCCGATCCGTGCCAAGGCTCGGACTACAGGGCGCAGGCATCCCGAGCGTCGGCCTGAAAGTACGAAAAAAACGGGAAAAAAAAAAAAAAAAAAAAAAGAAATAAGAAAAACGAACGGGTTCATTCCCGCTTTGCGTTTCGGACGCAAAGCGGGAATGAATGTTCCCGCTTTGGCAGAGAGAGAGAGAGAGAGAGAGAGAGAAAGAGAGAGAGAGAGAGGGAGAGAGAGAGGGAGGGGCGGCAACATGCACGGAGGGTCGCGCGCAACTTGCCGCCCCTCTCTCTCTCTC